GAGGGGCCAGCCTCGGTGGGGACCCACAGTGGGTACATGAGGGCTCCGGGCCCTGGGTGGGGAAGGAGAAAGGATTCTATGTGACTGTGGTTTTCTCTCCCAGGCCTAGAGCTGTGTACTGAAAGACACAAGGACTTCAGGACATGTGAGAGAAGCATGATGCTGCCCCTTCACTGACACTTCTTGCCAGGCTCTGAATACTCCTCCTCTATGCCCAGCTTTCAGCTCTATGCTAGATAGGGGGAGGGGGGAAACAAGAGAAGCAGCAGACCCCATTCCTGATGCAGCTGCAGGAATGGGGAGGGGGTGCCATTGGCATACCCATGGAGCAATTATGGTAGATATATGATTAATCCATTAATCCATCCAACAAGTATTAAGGATCAGAAATGAGGGTAAACAGCAGTTCCCCCACCAACTGTGTGCCAGGCTTTGTACTAAGGGCTGGAGATACAAAGTCAAAGATAGAAACATCTTCATCCTCAAAGAACTTACATTCTGTTAGGAAAGACAAAATACCCATCTAAAGGTAATTTAAAAACACATATCACTTTCTCCCCCCCCCCTCCCAATTGCCACACCTCTCCTCCCCAAATCAGGTACCTAGCCTGAGTCTCATATTTCCATGGCCTTTTTCTCAGATGCTGTCAAGGTCCCCACTAAAGCTTAGCTCCCTGATCATTTCCATTTCCACAGGGGACTCTGACAGACAGAAAAACACTTCAAGGCACACAGTGGGAAGCACCGGCCAGCTCAGCCTCTTGAGTCAAAAGACCTGGTTTCATTTAACCATATAAAATGAGAGAGGCGGTCTCTAAGGCCCCTTCCAATTCTGGATCTGTGATCCTTTGAATTTAAGCCCTAATAGTGTGATTTCAGGCACTGTGACAGGCAGGCAGAGGAGAGATTTTTGGATAAGAGCCATGTTTTTCAAACGGCTCCTGTTTCGCTAATAGATACATAAAATTAATCCTCCATAGTTATTTGACTTTTACTTTGGCAAGAGGAGTGGGCTCTTAGGAGATTACATTTAGAAATGTCTGCCACCAAGCAGCAGGAAGAAATCACTAACCTTGTTTTTGAAACCCCTAACCTCAGAGCCAGACCCACTTCCCCTTGCCATGGTCATAGGGGTTGCACCTTCATGAGATCATCTGACCAGAGAACTAGAGGTGGAAGGCTTGGCAGCCATCAGGTTCACTCCAGGGCCTTGTGGTGAAATGACTAGACCAAAGTCACATTGCTAGTCAAATGACCACACAGCTCCACGGCCCGTGGATGAATTCTAGGACAGCTTTCACATCACCTCCCATTTCTCCTTCTCCCCTCTCAGTCGCTCTTTTATTATGATTGAAGGGAATGGTTCTGCCCAGGCTCAGGATAAATGAATACTAGGCCAATGCGGAGGTTCAGGCAATCAGGAAATGTGACTTGAACCCTCCCTTACCCACACCAACATACATGGTGGCAGGGGTGGGGAACCTTTGGCCTCAAGGGCACATGTGGCCTTCTAGGTCTGGGTCCAAGCTTTATAGAACAAATCCTTTTATAAAGGGGATTTCTTCTGTCAAGTTTAGATTCAGTCAAAGGGCCGCACGTGAGGACCTAGAGGCCGCAGGTTCCCCTCCCTCCCTGCCCCCCTGTCCTGGAGCACAGCTTCCAGAAGGGAAAGTGAAGTGAGGGGGCAGAGGGGAAGGACCTTTGAAAATAAAGCCAGGATTTCCCCTGAATTCTCAGTGACTCCATGGAAATGACTCAGGGAAAAATCTTGACTTTTATTTTCAAAGGTGGGTGAGGGAAGCTTCAAGCCTGGTTTGCTGGTCATCCAGTCTGTACCTGAAGACTTCCAGTGATGAGAAAAGCACGAGTGAAGACAAAGGCCCTTCCCATCCAGCCATCGAACTTCCGCTGGTCTGTTTGCACCTTTCTTTCACCAGCTGTTCCTGATTCTGCCCTCCAAGGTCAATCAGAGCAAGTGTGATCCCTCTTCACACTAATGTGTGGAATGCAATGGGGCTGGCCGGATGACAGCTCCCAAGGGAGTTCCCAGCTTTTCCTGCTGCTTCAGCTGCCTCTCTTCCCCTCTCCTTCCCTCACTTTTCTAACACCACTGCCACCCCCTCCCTTCTCCAAATCCTCTCCTTCATCCTTCAGCACATTCTCTTGGAGATGGAAATGCCTTTACGAGTCAGTCCATCCAAATCCCTTGTTTTACAGATGAAGAAAATGAGTCTGAGTGTGGAAGAGATGTCCTCAAGATCACACACACCCCTGTAGTAAGACCCAGTAGAGAGAAATTAGAGTCTCATAAGACGTGGGTTCTAATCTCACATCTTGTGGGCTCTGTGACTGTGGGCAAGTTACGTTATTTCCATAAGCTTTAGTTTTCTCATCTATAAAATGGGAATAATAATAATACCACAGGTACCTACTCCATAAGATGCAAGCCTTAGAGGGCTATTTAAATTGCAGAAGTCCTCCTGAAGATAGTTTGGGCTCTTTCTTCCACATCATATGCCCCAGTCCTCTTCTTTCCCTACCTTATTACTTCTTCTCTTTCTCCTACTCCACCCCCATCCTCAGCCTCCAATCTCTCATTGTTATCTGTTACTGTTAACTTCTGATTCCAACCCTTCAAAGGGGAGGGAGGATGGTACAGTGGCTAGATCTTCAGATTGGTTGCTGGAATTCTTGGGCACCTACTTCCTGTCTCTGGGTTTCTGGATTTCAACTGTTACTGTCCACTTTGACCATGGCCAGATCATGTGTTTTAGATTATTAATAGGAAGAACTAGTGTTTACATAACCCTTAAAAGTTTCCAAAGCGCTTTACACATTTTATCTCATTTGATCCACACAATAACCCTAAGAGGGAGGTGTTATTACTACCCCCATTTTACAGACGAAGAAAACGAGACTGAGAGAACTTTAATGACTTATCCACAGTCCCACAGCTAGTAAGTCTTCTGGGTTCGTGATAGTTGCATCACCACCACCTACACTTCCCAATGTATACACCTGCTCTCTAGCCCAAGGCCATCCTTTATACTGAAGAATTTTTAAAAAGATAAAAACTCATCAACCTAGAAAAAGTCTGGTATTATACGCAGTGACGTGTACACCCGTAGTCTTTCTGCTCCCTCCCCCACTATCCTGCAAAGAAATGTCCTCTTCATAGAGGACAAAATTGCTCATTATAATTTTGCAGGATTTTCAATGCAGGAGATAATAGTAAAATTTATTTAAAAATAATAATCATCATTGAAATTTGTATAGCACCTTAATGGTTGGAAGGCATTTTATCATTTGTTACCTCATTGGGCTGTCCTAACAATAATAGTATCTCATTTTCCTGATGAGGAGACTGAGGCTCAGAGATTGAGTGGCTTGTTCAGCTAGTATAGGTCAAGAGTAGGATTTGAACTCAAGTCTTCTTGACTTTAAGTTTAGCTCTCTCTCCACTACACCTATACTTAGATCTAAACTGTCTTTCTGCCTGTGCCCTCCTATCCTTTCAGTCTGGTTCTTTGTAGGCTCTGTGCCTGGCCTATTCTCCCTGGGTGGATCTCAGACCCCACACTCTGCACTTTCTGTTTAGGGGAGAGAAGGGAACCAGAGACCATAGCTAGTGAGGGAAGGCTGTCTCAGTCACAACTGTGAAGAGGGAACCCAGTTGACTAAGAACTGCCCAATATATCTTCATAGGTCTAGATCTGGAAGGGACCTTACAGAGCACCTAATCCAAACCTCTTCATTTTACAGAGGAAGATGTGGAGACTTGTTGAGGGAAGTTAAGAGACTTACCTAAGGTCACACAGCCAGTAAATAATAGAAGCAGGATCTGAACCCATGCCTTCTGGCCCCACAGCCTGTTCTCTTTCCATAGCTCAGGGCTGGGCATACAGGAGGCATTTCTACAGAATCAGGGATCTCATAGCCCTAAGCACTTTGTTTTATTTTATTTTTTAAAATTCTCACAAAAGCATTTTTTAAAGTATCAATGTATAGTGTGTTGATACAACAGACTTCCCAGCAAAAACCTATTAAAAAGTCCATTCCTGGAACACTTCATTTTTGGATTGTTAACAGAAAAGGAGGGCTGTGAGCTCTCCTCCTGACAGCCTAATATTAACAAGTGATCATGGTAATTGATGAAGTTCTGTTCTTCCCAGGCCTGGCTTCAATTACATTGCTTTGGCCAGCCTTGCCAGATGGATCCTTTTGGCTCATCTTTCTACCCTCTGCATCCTTTCACAAGAGTCTTCTCATGTCTCTCTGAGTTCATTTCTATCATTCCTTGGGACTCAGTAATATTCTTATCTCATACTTTTACACCTCCCCCTATCCCACCCCCAGCTCTATCCCAATGGTTGCAATGTCCTCATTTAATGGACTGAGTAAAGAGAAAAGGAATCTGAGACCTAGAGAAGGGAAATGAGTAGTTTAAAGGTCACCCAAGTCAGTTGATGGTAGAGGCCAAATTAGGATATGGGTGTCCTGATACTTGGTCCAAGTGTCTCTATGATCTGGAATTGAGCCTGTGAAGGTATGTCAGCTGGGTAAGTGAGGTTCCTTCAGCTGGTCATAGAAGCCACTGTCTGTGGTACAGTGGAAACAGCTCTGAATTTGGAGCAGGGACCAGAGTTCAAGCTCCACTCTTCCTTCCACTAGTACCTGGGTGACCTTGGTCAACCTCCCCAGTTTCCTTCACCTGAAAAACAAAGGAAATCATTCTATGGAACTCTAAGATGACTTCTGGCTCTAGATTTATGAACCTATGAACCTTTCCCAAGCCAATAGCAGCCAACTTGCTTTAATTCAAACTGTCTCCTAAGTGTCATTAGGAATGCAAGAAGGGCTGAGTTTCTGGGTACTTGATTCCAATGATTAACCAGCTGGAGCCAGCCCAACTCTTGAGGAGGAAATCCTGCCAAGGACCACCCCCTGATGATGGAAAAAATGAGGTTTAGAATCTCCCGGATCAGGTCTTTTTCAGTGGTGCCCAAAGTAAACTGCTTGATTCAGCCCCACCTCCAACTTCCCTTTTCTTGGGTGGCAAAACACTGGGGATTCTTTAATTCACGAGAAAGGATATTTCCTCTTTATTGGAGAACTATAAAAGGAGTGGAGAATCCAGTGAGAAGTCAGAGGAGCAAGAGTAGCACATTACCTAGGGTTCTCCTATCTGGTTTGGTTTTGTTCTGTTTTAAAATTTTTTATAAGTATTTAACTATTTACAAAAACCCCTAGGTCCATTCCTCGATATCTTCTCCCCTGAAAAGACCATGAAGGCTTCCGTAATGATTCTGCTTCACCTCTTACTTATGGTTATCTGTTGTCCAACTGCCTTTGCAGCAGGTAAGATGGAATTCCTTCTACTTGCCTTTCCTCTCTTCTCCTCTCCTCCCCTCCCTGTGCTGAAGGTATGGGTAGCATGACCTCTGCTTCCTGAGACAAAGAGCGTAGGGATATAGAGTGGGATAGACTTAGTGTGCTTGGTATGAGATCTGCAGAGTTGAATGGAATGGCCAAGTGTTGGGGACTGGGATGGAGAGGGGGAGTAAGAGCCAGGAATAGAAAGGCTAAGTGCTGGGGAGCAGGGTCAGGCCACAGCATGCATTGCTGTACCAAAGCATCCCTGCTATACCAATGCAATGGGGAAAAGCAACTGTATTCGAAGTCAAGAGCCCTGGGTTCTAATTATGGTTCACCATTACCTTGAGTAAATCCCCACCCAACCGGAACCTCAGTTTCCTCACCTGTAAAATGAGAGGGTTAGACTAGCTAGTCTCTAAGGTCCCTTCCATTCTGATATCCTGTGATTCCATGGGAAGTCAACTAGACTCAGGGAGGGAGCGGAGGGAAGAGAAGTAGGCAGACAGCAGGGGAAAAGAGAAGGAACAGGAGGTGTGAGGTGTTATTGCTACTACTACTACTACTACTATTACTGCTACTACTGCTGCCACTACTGCCACTACTGCCACTACTACTACTACTACTATTACTGCTACTACTGCTGCCACTACTGCCACTACTACTACTACTACTATTACTGCTACTACTGCTGCCACTACTGCCACTACTGCCACCACTACTACTACTGCCACTACTACTACTACTACTACTACTACTACTACTGCCACCACTACTACTACTGCCACTACTACTACTACTACTACTACTACTACTACTACTACTGCCACCACTACTACTACTGCCACTACTACTACTGCCACTACTACTACTACTACTACTACTACTACTACTACTACTACTACTACTGCCACCACTACTACTACTGCCACTACTACTACTACTACTACTACTACTACTACTACTACTACTACCACTACTGATCCTACTACTACTACTGATCCAGAAAGCTATTTACACGTGCCTTAAGATTTGCAAGGCACTTTCTAGGCATTATCTTGTTCAATCATCGCAACCACTCTGTAAGGAGGGTGCTGTTGCTGTCCCCATTAGATCAGCCTCTTCCTGCTGAATTCTGGGTCCAACAGGTTATTTGCTCTCTCTGAGCTTTAGTCCACCCACCCCCATTGTGTACCTCTCCATTCTCTTCTGTTGCATTCCAGGTCTTGCTGCCATACAGCAAGACAGACAGAATACTGGTTTTTTAAAGATGGGCTTTTGCTTGTGACTTGGGGGCCTTGGAGAAGCACTGGAATTCAAGAGTACCTTGAAGGGGGCAGCTAGGCGGTGCAGTGGATAGTGCACTGGCCGTGGAGTCAGGAGGACCTGAGTTCAAATCTGAACTCAGACACCTGATGCTTAGTAGCTGTGTGACCCCAAACAAGTCACTTAATCCTGATTACTCACTGAAAGAGCAGGGGGGAAAAGTACCTTGAAGGACCACGCTTCAACATTTTTTTTTCTCCATAAGAAAGAAACTAGAAATAGTAGGGTGAAAAATTGTATTTCAAAGAGAAATTATAATATCTGCCTGTAATTATTCACATTTAATGTGTGCTTATACAGACAGGAGAATTTACAGTAAATCACAGTAAAATTTTTTTTTTAAGTCTGTATCAATTAATGTGCCAGGTCCTTCTAGTGTTAAAAGAGCTTTGCAGTTTCCTGAAGGCGTCTAGATGAGGAAACTGAGGCAAACAGAGATGAAGTGACCTTGTCCATGCTCACATAGTCAATATCTCAGGAAGAATTTGAACTTGAGTTTTCCTGACGCCAAGTTCACAATCTAGACCTGTAGGCAAATTTAGAGTTCCATCCCACTCATTATTTTACAATTGAAGAAGCTGAGACCTGGAGAAGTGAAATGACTTAGAGCCAGGAGTACAACCAGATTCCCTGGCTCTAAACCTAGAAACCTTTCTTTTTACCACACTGGAGATGGGAACAAAATAGTAGGAAGGAAGGGAGGGAAGGAGAAGGGAAATAAGCATTTATTAGGCACCTACTATGTGCCAGGCACTGTGCTAAGCACTTTACATACATTATCTCATTTGATCCTCGTGACAACTCTGTGAGGTAGGTGCTATTATTATCCCCATTTTACAGACTGGTGCAGATAGAGGTTAAATGACCCACCCAGGGTCACGCATAGAAGGTCGGATTTGAACTCAGGTCTTCCTGGCTTCAGGTTCAGTGCTCTGCCCATCACATCGCCTAACTGTACTACTTAGGCGTAGGGGCTGGGATCTGGGCTCGGTTCTGTGGCATCATGTCTCACCCCGACACTGAAGTGTACGCTTTCCTGGGGAAATGGCAGTATCTTGTTTCATGTTTGCATTTCCAGTGGCACTTACCCAGTAGGTGCTTCTTGCTGAATTAAATTGAAGTCCTAGCTAGGGGTCTGAGCACCAAAGCCCCTAAAGCAGACACAGAGAGAAAGGAGAGGAAACCCTCTCATTCTGTCTTCTAGGAGCTGCGGTCATTCCCTCGACTTGTTGTGTGAACTACATACAGAAGGCAATCCCCTCAAGCCTGGTGGCCAGCTACCAAGTGACCAATCGGAGTGCCTGCTCCATGCCTGGAGTGATGTGAGTGTTTTGGTCCTGGGCCTACGAATCATTCGGGCTTCTCCTCTTCACTCTCCTGGACTCTGTAACCAATCAATTCATCACCTCATCTTGATTCTCCCTCCCCAGCATCTCTCCCACCCATCCTGTTCTCAACACTCATATGCTCATCTTAGTTTAGGCCTTCAAAAGCCTCCAAAAAGGTCTCCAATCTCTCCTCTACTCTACCCAACTTCCATACAACCACCAAATTTATTCAGTCCTAATGGCTCCCTGGAGGTCACCTCCATGTAATATTCTGTATCCCTCTTCCATGTCATGGCACAGGCTGTCTACCATGCCTAGAAGGCTCCCCTTACACCTAAATCATTTTGTATCTGTCCCCTATTTACTTATCTCTAAATGTGTTGTATTCCTCCCATTAGAATGTAAACTCCTTGAAGACAGGAACTGTTTCACTCATTTAATAACAATAAGAGCTAGCTATTACATAGCACCTACTATGGGCCAGGCACCATGCCAAGAGCTTTACAAATATTAACTCATTTGATCCTCCCTGGGAGGGAGGTGCTACTATTATCCCCATTTGACAATTGAAGAAACTGAGGCAAAAGAGGTTTTAGTGACTTATCCAAGGTCACTTGTTATTACCATTGCTGTTGCACAGGGCCTGGCTATTTAGTAAATGTTGATTGATCCATTGGGTCTATTGACTGAGGAGGGGTGTTATAGGGTGGCTTCTTCTGCCCCAGAGTAAGTTATGCAACCCCAGGAGGCCAGACTATGGAGCTAAGGTGACTACCCTACATGACTCTGTGGCTTCTCATACACCCAGTGAAAAAGAATTGGTTGTAGGTTCCTAAAGCTGGAAGGAAGCTTAGAGGAAATCTGCTTAAACCCCTTCCTTTTACAGAGAAAAATGAGCCCAGAGAGGGCAAGGGACTTGCTTCAAGCCTCCCAGCTAGTGAATGATGGACAAAACTAGGAAATCTGTGTTGCAAAAGACAGAGTGCTGGGCTTAAGTCAGGAAGGTCTGGGTTTGAATTCTACCCCAGCTACTTACTAGCTATATGACTCTGGGCAAGTCACCTAATTCCGTATGCCAGCTTCTCTTATCTGTAAAAAGGACCTGATGAACTTGAAAGGCCCTAGCAGATCTTGGATCTGGAGCTTCTTTTCCACCTGCTTCCTATGGGTTTTCATAGCTATCTTCTTATTTATAATGTCTTCATGGACAACGGGTGTGGGACATGTTTCTTACTGCACCACTTCCTCTAAATCACTCCAGATTTCATTTTATGTATCATTTTTTATGGTACAGTTATTTTCCATCACATTCTAAGTTTTCCATTATGACCTGGGTGAAATGTGGTGGCCAGGGGCAGTCCCCTTGAGATTGTGGAGGCCAGGAAGTTAGTCCCCTCCCCTTCTTCACCCTTTCCCCTCTTTGCATCCTCCACCTTCATCTCTTCCTCCCTCCCTCCCCCCCCTCTCCTTTCCTTCAGGTGCTAAGTGCTCCCTTCTCTTCAAGGTTAGGATTTTGAGGTCATCATTATTATCAGATCACACTGATAACAGTTTTGGTTTTCATTCCAGTCCATTTCTTGATCAAGTCTCCTTTCTCCATATTTATCATATATTCCCCAAGATATTCACCTTTAATGTATGATTTTCTCTTCCTCCCTCCTTCTTTCCCTCTCTCCTTTCTTTTTCTTTCTCTCTTTCTTTCTTTCTTTCTTTCTTTCTTTCTTTCTTTCTTTCTTTCTTTCTTTCTTCTTCCCTTTATTATCTTTCTTTCTCTTTCCTCCAGGTTTTCTCTTTTATGAAATGAGATGATTTAATTTGGGGTATCCCCAAATTTCCTTCTGTCTCTGATCATCTGTTGTTCCTTCCCCTATAGCTTTACCACCAAAGCCAACCGACAAATCTGTGCTGACCCCACAGGGCAGTGGGTCAAGGATCGCATGAAGATGATAGATGCTAAGAAGGCCAAGCTGTCCCTGGGGGCTGGGCCAAAGGCCTTGAAAAACCGCCGCAAGAAGCCATCTTCTAACAGCACCACCATGGATCACTAGGATGGGGATGGTATCTACTGGCCAGCTGCCTGGTGGGATGGAATGGGTGGTGGAGAAGGTGGTCTTCCTCCTTCTCTCTCAGCTGGACCATCATCAGAGTAGATGGCTAATACTTTGTACCTCCCAGGTTCCCAGATGCCAATTTGCCACCCATGTGACCCAAAGCAAGTCCTCTTTGCTCTCTAGGCCAGGTCCCTTCCTCCTCCTCTGTAAGATCAATGGAATCAGAGATCTAGATTTAGAAGCACCTAGAAGCCACCGAGCCACCCTTCCTCCGCTTCATTTTAGAGAGGAGGAAACTGAGGCCCAGAGAGACTTAGCTGAAGTCATGAGTTGGCAGAACTGGGGTTCAGACCAGGGCCTCTGGCTCCAGTTATGGCCTGACGGGTGATCTCTATGATCTCTTCCATCGCTAATGTCCTGTGCTGGTTACCAAATGAGATGATGTAGATAAACTGCTTTTTTCTACTTTCAACTGTTCCATCAACATAGACTCTTTCTTTCCATCCTAACCCCCGGCTCTGCAGTCAATGGCCCCAGTCCTGGGGGGGGGGGGCGGTGTGAGGGGAGGAAGGGAGACGAGGATTTCACTGGGAAAGGATGCCTTGGTTACTCTTGTACCATTGACAGGGTGGAATCCTTGCCCCTCTTGACACAGAGGCTTGTAGAAATGCTCTAGAAGCCCCAATTTATAAGCTCTTTCTCTAGAAACATAGATTATTTCATTGTAGGCACCTGACTCAGAGTAGTAACAAACATTATTGATTGACTTGCTTGATTGTCCACCATGAGCAGAGTGAGAGAAAATATGGCCTAGAGGATATAGGGTTAAGCTTAGAGTCAGGAAGACCTGGGTTCGTAGCCCCCCCCCCCATACTGGCAAGGACCCTGCATGAGTTGCTCTGTTTCTAAGTACCCCCATGCAGTTCTCTAAGACAAGTTGCCACCTCAGTCACTGAAGGGAATTTCTACACCAGATGGTCCCGCTCCCAAGAGATCACAAGACTGGAAGAAAAAGAAATGTGCAAGACACTGGATTATTGATGTGCCTGAAGCAGTAGTCACATGTTATCAGGGAGACAGAGGCTCCGTGGACACTCTTGGGCCAGACCCTAAGTGAGCCTTGTCTGGGGCCTCTCCATGTAGCTGTTACTTTGAGTTTGGGCTTGGGGGACCTGAAAAGTTATCCCCTCAGGGATCATGATATCATTAGAGTGGCATTTTACATTTTACAGATGAGGAAACTGAGGCAGAGAGAGGCCATGACCTCCCTATGGTCACACAGCTAATAAAAGTCGGAGGTAGAATCATAACCTAGAATAGACCTGGAGGTGACCTTGTCCAATGGCCTCATTTAACAGATGAGAAAAACGAAGTCCAGCAAGATGGGCAATCAGGACAACTTGAGGGTGTGGAGTTACAGTATTTATGGGGGGAGAGGGTTAATTTCTGTGAACTTCTTATATTATAACTTATATTATAGTTATTTGTGTATTATATATATATATATCTTATCCCTTTTCCTAGAATGTAAGTCCCTTGAGGTCAAGACCTCTATTTCCTTCCTTTGTATCTTTGTATCTGCAACTCCAGCCCAGTGCCTTTTATTGAATGACTGTTTAATAAATGGTTATTGAACGAAATAAACTGAACTTTGGTTGAGACGGGGCTGAGAGAAGGTCCACGGGCATGTTTTCACTAGCAGTTTTCTGATAGATAATCTGAAAGTCGGATTTCCCCATCTCAGAGAAGAAGCCACTGTTTGTTTTTGAGAGGATTTGCCAAAAGGCTCCTTTTGCAATTAGCTGCTGTGGGGGGTAAATGTGCAGGATTCAGAGTCAGACTCGACGAGTTCAAATCACGCCTCAGACATTCCCAGACTGTGTGACCCTGGGCGAGTCATGTCATCTTTCTGCGCCTCAGTTTCCTCATCTATAACACGAGGCTAATAATATCACTTGCCTCACAGGGTTGCTCTCAGGAGCAAATGAAATATTGTGTGGAAAGCATTTTGCAAACCTTAAGATGCTCTAGAAGTCCTAGCTATTATTATTTGAACAGTTCACTCCCTCAAAACTTTCCACTACCCCCAAAAGTCACTTGGCACTCATTTTGTGTAAAACTTTATAGTGCTCAGAGAAGCACATTAAAAAGATCCACTGTTGCTCAATCTCAGTAAAGTGGTGGCTTCTGGGAGAGTGAGGAGAGGGATTTAGTCTCTGCTGCAGCTGCCTGAAGCTGCCTGTGGGAAGCTGGTTCTGAGGTGCGAGGGCCTGAGGGGCTGCTGCTTTCCCAACCTGCATGAGGGTGAGGCTGCGTAGAGGTGGGGAAACTGAGGTTTAAGGACCCACCCAAGGACAAATGTACAATGAACAGTGGAGCTGAGGTGGGACTGCAGGATACATGCCTTCGTAGTCTGCCTTTGGGGACCTGTTTCCTAATGGTTTCAGATCTCAACCTGGAGACATGGAGACCATCCCAGGAAGTAGGTCCCCTCAAGCTGATGGGGAGATGACCTTCACCAGAGGGGCTTAGCAGAGAGGGGAGATCATACAAAAAGAGGAAAGAAGGCTGGGAGGGCCTCATAAAATGTTGGCAAGGTCTCATTTGGGAATATCCTCAGAAGACTCGTCCTGCTGGAACATTCCCTCTCTCTTCCCCCCTCCTCAAATTTCAGCCAACCTGGAGACCTCAGGCCAGTGGCTTTGCAAGGGAACAAAGTACTTTTGGCATCTCATCAGTGGAGTGTGGGCTCTAAATGGTGCTGCCAGTGATGTAGATGGGCTGCATTGAACCATTCCTGTTTTTACCGAGCACCTTGGATTGAGGACACCTTGTGCAACTCTACAGGCTAGATCTAGGTCTCAGTAAATGGAGTTAGGGGTCTATCTGTAAAGAGGGTTAGGGTCTTTTCCTTCTCCCTCATTCCTCACAACCAATCAATGGCCAAGTCATGTCAATTCAGTCTCTGTGACCTCTCTCTCACATATTCCCCCCTCTCTCTACTCACACAGCCTTACTACCTAGGTCCCAATCACCTCTCGCCTAAAATATTGTTATAGCCCTCAGCTGATCTCCTTGCCTTCAGTGACCTGCATAACCTAATCTATCCTCTACACAGTTGCCAAAATAACTTTCTAAGGTACATGCCTGATCGTGTCATTTCCCTGCTCCAGAGCACTTTGGGGAGGACCCTTAGAGGCTACATTTTACAGAGGCTCAGACAGGTTAAGGTAGGAGTGGGGAACCTGGGCCTTGAGGCCACATGTGGCCTTCTGGGTCCTTGGGGGCAGCCTTCTGATGGAATCCAAGTTTTACAGAATGAATCCTTTTATTAAGGGGATTTGTTCTGTGAAGTTTGGATTCACTCAAAGGGCTACACTTGAGGACCTAGAGGGCCACATGTGGCCTCAAAGCCATAGGTTCCCCTACACCTGGGTTAAGACTTCCAGTTAGTAAGTGTCAGAATCTAGAACCAGTTTTTGGAACTCCCAGCCTATCATTCTATCCAAAATGTAAAAAAAAAAATTAAAATTTTTTTTTAAAAAACCCTAAGCCTTATTAAACAATGAAGCAAGGCTGGGTTGACTGCTTTGAGTAGAGTTGCTGAGGACTCCCCCATTTGCTTCCCCAGAAGTTGCAATGACCTTCCAAAAGTCCCTTGGCTCAGACATTGGACAGCAATGGGATGAAACAGAGAGCACAGGCCCTGAGACCATCTGTCCTTGTTCCCACTACTTGCAACTACTCTGACAGTTTCCATTCTCCCACCTCTATGCCCTCCCCTTGACTGGTATAGCCGGTTGACCTCTGGCTGCTCATACCTGGCAAGGGTGAGGCTCTGTAGCTTAGGAAAAGTGTGTGAATTCCTTGACGTCATTCTCAAACACAATATTCTCAGGAAATCTCTCCAGGGAGCCCCTTCCCTAATAAAAAGAAGGTCAGCCTCAGCCTTGGGACTATTGTCAAGCCTGGCAGGGTTTGAAGGAACACTGAAAAATCATGAGAGTCTCCAGGATAGTTCTCTGTGTCTTCTTGGCCGGTGTCCTCTGCTCCACAGTCCAGACTGCCATACGTAAGGCTGCTCCCTGGCTGCTCCCTGAAGTGCCTTTCTTTTCTCTTAGGGCTGGGTGCTAGGAGAAAGTGATGAGGAGGATGGGGCATGTCCAAAGTCTGTCTGGCTTGGTTTTTTAGGAGGCAGTAACATTGCCAGGTACTGCTGTGAAAGATACAGCTCCAGACCCATTGCCAGGAAGTTTGTACGGACCTATGAACTCGCCAAAAGCAGCTGCTCTCTATCTGCTGTCATGTGAGTATGTCTTCTGGCCTGGAGGATGGGGAGAGGGGCTCAGAGATGCCGAAGACAAAGCAACCTTGTGACCAGGCAGGGTGCTTCTCATTCATTCCTATCCCACCTCCAAAATGGAATGGTGGGCAAGTCACTTTCCCTATTTGTTCCTCTATTATCTGCAAAATGGGGATAAGAATTCTATGATCCTAAGTCACTTAATCTCCCTGAGTACAGGACCGATGTATTGATGATGCCGCCTGGTCTAGCTTCTATCTTTATGTGGCATTTCTAAGAAACTACAGCTGCTTCTAGGAGAGTTGTGTTGTTTTGTAAGTTTGTAAGTTGCATTGTTGTTGAGCTGTGTCTGACTCTTTTTCTTGGCAAAGACACTAGAGTGGTTTGCCATCTCCTTCTCTAGTATGTTCCTATTTTACAGATGAGGAAACTGAGGCAAACAGGGTTAAGTAACTCGCCCAGGGTCACACAGCTAGTAAGTGTCTGAGAATGGATTTGAGCTCAGATCTTCCTGATTTCAAGCCCAGGGCTCTATCTACTGCACCACCTAGTTTTCCCATGGGAAAGTTATAGGGGTCTAATTTTCCCTCTGGGTTTAGGGTTGGAGTATATGCAACCTGAATGTGTTCTGGGAAAGCTGGGGGTAGGATGGGATGGGGAGGAGAACTCTTGTATGACAGTGAAGTAATAGATCATCAGCATAGAGCTGGAAGGAATGTTAGAGATCATCTAATCCAACCGCTTCATTTTACAGAGGGGGAAACTGAGGCCTTGGAATGGTAAGTGATTCAGGATTATACAATCATAGCTGTACAAATGAGATATGAGAGGAAGAACCGACACAGAGGAATTAGATGGGGGAGGAGGGCTGGTAGCTCTGGAAACCTGCTTTCATTCGGAATGGGTTCAAGAGGGAACAATACATACATAGCTAGAAGAGTATAAAAGTGTTCTAAATTCAGAAAGAAATAAAATGCTAAGGGGATAGGGAGGGGGGAGAGGATAGGAGAGGCTCCGTAGAGGGGGAGAGGAGGGACTAGCTTAATGAGGGGTATGGAAGGATGGTTAGATTAATGGGAATGGGGGAGATAAGAGAAGGATCCTTGGCAGGATAAGGGAGGGATCTTTAGAGGGGAAGGTGAGGAAACAGGTCAAAGGGGGGCATAGAAGGGTGTTTAGATTTATGGGAAAGGGAAGATAAAGGAAGGATCCCGAGAGAGGAGTATAGGGTAAGTAATAAGAAAGCAAGGTAGAAGTAAAGTAGAGCAATGTGGAGGGATAGGAAATAAGAGATATGCACAAATATAAAACAAAGATCAAGAGTAGAATTTGTATCTGGCCACAGACACGTGACGCTAGCTATGTGATCCTAGGCAGGTCACAACCCAATTGCCTCACCAAAGAGAGAGAGAGAGAGAGAGAGAGAGAGAGAGAGAGAGAGAGAGAGAGAGTAGAATTTGTTAGGAAAAGTAGATGTTTATGTATGTATGTATATATGTATGTGTACATATGTATATGTGTATGTATATATCTATATATAAATATATTCATGCTTAATTGTAGTGGGGAGGGAGGGGAGGGAGGGGGAAAAAGAAGAAAGTAAAAAGTGCACGGCAGAGAACAAAAGAAAACTTTCAAGGAAATAAAGAAAAGATGGACAGCTCTCAGCACAATGCATAGCATTTATTACATAGGCTTTCTTGAAATAGAAACTTATTGCTATATATTTTGAATTCTTTTATGTTCTGCTGTACACATGACATGTTTTCTTTTCTTATTTTGTGTTTAAGTTTTAATATTTAAGTTTATAATATGCTTTTTTCTTTTCTTATTGTGTATTTAAATTTTAGTATTTAAAATAAAATAAGACTCGTAGCACTAGATATGGAAGGGCCCTCGGAAGTCCTTTCTTTTACAGGTGAGGACAATGGGGTCCTGGGAGGCTTAGATGACCAAGGTCACATGGGGAGTAAACATTAGAGGCAGAGCAGCATTTGAACCCAGGTCCACTGACTCCAGAGCCTGTCCTGTCTCCAAGTCCAGGACAAGACACTAAAGGGTTGTTATGAGGAAGCATTTTGCAAATGACAAAGCTAAGGTTGTGAATCACTGGTGTTATGGCCATGATGGGGACACAGTCAAAAGATAGAGGTGTTTTTTTTTCTCTACAGATTCATCACCATAAAAGGACATAAAGTCTGTGCTAATCCCACAGCAAAATGGACTCAGAAATATGTGGCTTCCCTGAAATCCCAGAAGGTCCTTATTTGAAGTTGACCTCACACCCAGAGCTGGAAGGGCTCAGCATCCCTGCTGCCTGCTCAGTAACCCAGCAGCCCAAAGAGGCCAGAGACCCATTGCCACAGATTGGCCTGAAGAGTCTTTGGTTTCATGACTGAGGGGAGGAGAGTGGACTTGTGCAGCAGATGCTTTTACTATGAAGAGGTTGCCTTCTTCGACAGGACTTGTGACTTAATGCTATTACAATAAACGTTGTTGGTCTTCAGCTGTGTTACCTTTGAAACACGATATAGTGGAAAGAGGGATGAGGTCAGGTTCAGGGGACCTGGCTTTGAGTTCTGGCTGTGCTATTTGCTAAGCATATGACCTTGGCAGATGGCTGTACCTGAGTTTCTCATCTGTCAAATGAGAGGGTTTGGCCTAGAGGCCCCTTCCAGCTCTAAATTTCTGAGTCTCAATTTCCTCATCTGACAAATAAGTGACTTGGGTCTCTAAGGTCCTTCCAGCTCTAGACTTATGATCCTATAATTATAATAGCTAACATTTATAGGGTACTTTAAGGCTTGCAAAGTGCTTTACATAGTTATCTCATGATCCTCACAACAACTCTATGAAGGTATTATTATCATTCCCATTTTATAATGAGGAAACAGAGGCTGAAAAAGTTTCAGTAACTTGCTCAGGGTCAAACAGACGGTAGGCACCTAGGGAGCAGTTGAACTCAGATCTTCCTGCTTTTCAGTCCAGTCCTAGTCACAGCACCATCTAGCTGCCTATCCTCTCACTGCGTATGACCAAAGGAAAGGGAAGACAGGCTGCTCAATCAGTTCATTGCTGTTGATCAACTGGTAAGTCAAGCAATACATCAAAAAGCTCTTGTTAAAGCACCTGCTCTGTGCAAGACACTATTGTTGAGTGGTTTCAGTTGTGTCTGACTCTTCATGGCCTGATACAGGGTCTTCTTGGCAAAGACACAGGAGTGGTTTGCCATTTCCTACTCCAGCTCATTTTACAGATGAGGAAATTGAGGCAAAGAGAGTTAAGTGACTTGTCCAGCGTCACACAGCTAGTAAGTGTCTGAAGTTGGATTTGAACTCAGGTCTTCCTGACTCCAGGGCCAACACTCTATCCACTGTAGCACCGCCTAGCTGCCTGCTAGACACTGGGATACAAAGACAACAGGGAAATAATCATTGTCCTCAAGAAGCTAAAGTTCTAAATTGGCAGCTGACATATCCATATCCTTGTATCTACAGAAGGCATACAAGAGATAGAAGGTAACATTGGTGTGAAGGGCATACAAGAGATAGAAGGTATCTCTGGTGTGAAGGACATACAAGAGATACAAAGTAGCCTTGGTGTGAATGGTATCAGAGGCCCAGAAGGATCTCAGGCTGAAGAAAATGCTTCAGTGAAGCTTTGAAGGAAACCAGGGATTCTAAGACTTTTTGTGGATGTGAATCACATCTCTCCAATGAGACCTTGAGCTCCTCCAGAGGAGAGGTCACAGCCTCATCATTATAGATTAGAAAGGGGGCTGCATTTGGAGTGGGAAAAATTCAGAAACTCACCTCTAATCTCTGCTACTAATAAACCATGTGACATCTGGGCAGTTGTTTCCTTTGTCTGGGCCTCAGTTTCCTCCTCTGGACAATGAGGTAGTTGGGTATATATTCCTATGTGATCAAAGACAGAAAGAAAAATCCCGTATACATAAAAAATATTCATAGTGGTACTTTCTTGTGGTAGAAAACCAGAACTATAGTGGGTACCCACTGACTAGGGAGAGGCTGAAAAACCTATGGGACATGAATTTAACGGATCATAGAATCAGAGAACTAGAGCTAGAAGGGCCCTCAGGGGCCATCAAATCCAACCCCCTCTTTTTACAGTTGAGGAAACTGAGGCCCAGACAAAAAAGGTATTTTATCCAAGGTCACATAGGCAATAAGTTGCAGAGCTAAGATTCAAACCCAGGGCTTTTGATTCCAAATCCTGAGTTCCTTCCAGCTGTCTCTTCATTCTAGGCTTAGTTTAGGCAACTCTGAGCAGTCTAGGACTGAATCTGGCTGAGGAGAACCCTGGATAATTCTACCAATTCAGGAAATAGGAAGGAAAGACAGAGCTATAACTAGGGCAGAGTGAAAATGACTTTGTCCCAGAGTACTACTTCATCACCACAGTGGTCTTCTGACACCTCCCTATACACGTACAGGTTGATATCCTGACAAATGTCAGAGATCTTTCCACAGGCCCACACACACATACCCACACCTATTCTTCTACCTCTCTTCCAGACATGGAATTTGCCCTGGATAGCAGATGTCCTATTTATACCTCTGGAGAGAGAATAAGATCAGCTAGGGGATAAGATCAGACACATAACAGTTACTAGCTGTGTGACCCTGGGCAAGTCACTTAACCCCATTGCCTAGCAAAAAAAAAAAGAAGAAGAAGAAGAAGAAGAACATTAGCCTGGAAATCAGGAACCTAGGTTCACATCCCATCTGGCAGGTAGGTAATGCAGTGCATGGAGCACTTGGCCTAGAGTCAGGAACGACCCGAGGTCAAATTTGGCAAGTCACTTAATCTCTGCCTCAATTTTCTCATCTACAAAATGAAGATAATAATAGGACCCTCCTTTCCAGGGTTATGGTAGGGATCAAATGAGATAATAATTATAAAGCACTTTGCAAAACTTAAAATACTACATAAATGCTAGCTATTACTATTATTATCATCATCATCTGTGTGACCCTTGGCACACAGTTTCTCTGGACCTCAGTTTCTTCTTCTGAAGAGTGAAGTGAGGATGGGCTAAACTATCCCTAAGGTCTTTTAAGTTTCTATCATCCTATTGTGCTCATCAGATTGGCAAAGATGACCAAAAAAAGGAAAATGACATGTTGGAGAGGCTGGGAGAAAACAGGCACATTTTAATCAATGCACTATTGGTGGAGCTGTGAATTGATCCAGTCACTCTAGGAGACAATTTAGAACTCTAGCTCCCGACCCCCCCCCCACCGCTGCCCCCCCCCACCGCCCAAAAGTTACTAAATGTGCATCCCCTTTGACCCAAAGAGGAAAAGGACCAGCAAGTGAAAAATATTTACAGCAGCACCTAAAAAAAATTGTAGCAAAGAACAGGGAAGAAAGTGGTTACCCATGAGATGGGGACTGACTGAACAAACAGAGGAATGTAGTTTCTAATGGAATATCTTCTCATTGTAAGAAACTGCAAAAGTGCTGGATTCCAAGAAAACTGGGAAGACTTGTGTGAAGTGATACAGAGTGATGTTAGTAGAAGCAGTAGGATAATTTATCTAACCACTACAGTAATGTAAAGCAGAGGTGTCAAACTCTCAGCCCAGTGACAGAAAGATTAAAATGTAATTGAGAAATGTTTAACAAAGTAGATAAAAGTACAGTACGATGTAGATTACGTTAATTTGTGGTTTTCTTAGGCAATCTGTGGCCAGTAGGAATCAGTTTATTTGGGTTTGACATCCCTAGTATAAAGGACCACAATTTTCCAAGACAGAATTCTGCTGAACGCAATGACCAGTCCTAACGCCAGAAGACATCCGATGAATCTACTTTCTGCCTCTTGGCAGAGGGGACAGAATAGAGGCACATAATAAGATATCCGTTTGCAGATATGGCCAATGCAAGACGTTGTCTTAGTTCTGAATACTTATCTGTTACCAAGGAGCTGTTTGTTTGGCCAGGAGAGACTTTGGGAGTGGTGACAGTGATGCAAAAATCCCAGCAGAGAGTGTCAATGAAACATTAAAAAACCAACAGAAGCTGAGCCGCTTCCTCTGGTCCCTCAGTCTTCCTCGTAGCTTTGGATGGCCTACTCCTCAGCCTTGGTGCTGCTGCTCCTGACCCTTGGGGTTGTCGCCCTGGCTGAGCCGGTTCACTTTTTGGACTGTGGCTCTGCCGGAAAAGTTCAAGCGGTGGAAGTGATCCCCTGCTCTGTTCAGCCCTGCAAATTCCATAGAGGAGAATCCAACAGTGTCAATATCACCTTCATAAGGGACGTCTGGTCTCAGAACACCACAGCTTCAGTGCATGGCATTATATTGGGAGTCAAGGTACCTTTCCCTTATCCCTCAGCCTGATGGGTATAAGTGCGGCATTAACTGTCCCATTGAAAAAGGCAAGACCTGGGGGCAGCTAGGTGGCACAGTGGATAGAGCACCAGCCCTGGAGTCAGGAGGTCCTGAGTTCAAATCCAGCCTCAGACACATAACACTTACTAGCTGTGTGACCCTGGGCAAGCTACTTGACCCCATTGCCTAGCAAAAACAAAAACAAAACAAAGAAGAAGGGAATTTCCAGGGTGCTGCTCTATACATCCAGACCCCACTCACGTGCACTTAGAGCGTGTGAGCCCAGAGAGTACAAGTGCGGCCTGTCATCAGCATTCTCTGCAGTTGGATGGGGAGGGCCCAAGAGGAGGCTGACCTCAGGAATGGCTGTGCTTGAGATATCGAGGAAGTCGGTGTTGGGTCTTGGGGCTCAATTCCAAACTATGTTGATGCAGGGTAGGATGTCAAATCTCTAAGCTTTTCGACCTAAGTGCCTCATTGGGAGGCTCACTTTCCAGTCTAACATCCTGTGCGACCACTCCCTGACCTCAGTCCCTACAGCAGCTGTCAGTGCTTCAGTGTCATCTGCCTCCTCCTCCAAAGAGTTGCCAGGAGCTCTGGGTAGACGAATGGCTCTCAGTCTTAGCTGGTGTCAGCTGTTCCTGCTTTATTTCTGCCTTATGTGGCTTTTACTGAACAAATGGATTGGTTTTTTCCCACTAGTTTGTGGTGAATACACAACAGCCTGATATCAGTTGAATCTGTCTTTTTTTAACCTCATTAACTTGCAAATTCTTCATGTATCTGGAAATTCCTTTGAATAAAGTCCTTATGAATTTTGAAAAAAAATTAACGGAAGAGGGAAGATTGCAGTTCAGACGGAATTCATACCAACAGTGTAGGCACAGTACTAGTGGGTTAAACTGAACACACACCTTACGAAGTTGCATATGGTCGAAGTTCAGACTTTTAGATCTGCTCTGATTTTTCTCTTTTTATTTTGAAATGCTCATGTCCTTTGATAACTGTTATTTTTGTTGCTGGGTCGTTTTAATTATGTCTAACTTTTTATGACCCCATTTGGGGTTTTCTTGGCAAAAGTACTGGAGAGGTTTTGCCATTTCCTACTCCAGCTTATTTTACAGATGGGGAAACTGAAGCAAACAGGATTAAATGACTTGCTCAGGGTCATACAACTAGTAAGTGTCTGAAGCCAGATTTGAATGCGTGAAGATGAGTCTTCCTGATTCTCAATTTAGTTCTCTATCCACTGTACCATCTAGATGCTGATGGATGTTAAGTTCATAATAAATCCAAAAGGAAAACAATGAGATATGACCTAGGAGGAAGCCATGGGCACCTCACTGGC